AAAGGTCGATCTGCTTCACCTCGATCTCAGTACGATGTAACTGACAGTGACTACCAAACTGCTTATGGGTCCGCCAAAACACCCACCACTAGGGCTGTATCAAACGGAGCATATTCACCATCTGACGTTCCTTTGCCTTCACCTTCTGTCTCAGAAGCCAGGACAAAATCCGCTTCTCCCCCGGGACCTTCTTATGAATATACCCACCAACCGCAGCCTATACCTGCAGCCGCACCACACTTCGCCTATCCCTATCCATACGCCCATCTTTATCAGCAAAACTCCAACTACCCGAGCAGTCCAGTCATGGAACAGACACAGGCAAACGTGGTTACTCCTCAGTACTCACCTGTTATGCACCCTTCCCCACAGCCCAACTATGCAACTTCTTTCAGTCAGCAACAAGGCAGGAGAGCTAGTCGATCATCGAGAAGCCAATACGACTACTATTTTGGAAATACATCCCAGTACCGCTCTGCTCGGGAGTCGATATCTCAGCCTACCGAGAATGGAAAGCCATACTTGAACGGTGAACGTGACCTTGCCGACACGGTTAACCTTCTGCATCGCATACAAAATGTTATCCCTGACCTTAACAAACTTGCTGTCAGCTATCGTGAGGCACAGAGTCAATTGTCCGCCAGGGAGGCCGAAAACAAGCAAATCGAAGCCCAGCATGAACAGGCTCTCCTACACAAGGAGTACTATATCGAAGCTTTGCAGAACCAGATGAGAAAGGTTGCTAACGAACATGCAGAGGAGTGCTCCAAGCTAAAGGGTAAAATAGGTGCCCTTGGAGTTGAACTCAGTGATCTGCAAGAGAGAAATAGAAACACCGAGGACACATTAGTTGAGACTCAAAAGGCAAGGGACGAGCTGCTTCGTGCTCGTGATGAACTGGAAAGCGAGGTTGATCATATTCAGAAAGAGATCGAAGCAGCCCGCGAAGCACACGAACGCGACATTGTGAGGCTCAGAATGGAGGCTGAGAAGTCAGAAGAGAAAGCGCTTGCTGAGCAGAAGGAAAGGCTAGAAGACCTGTTCCAGGAAATCAAGAATGAAGATGACAGGCTTGCTGCTGAGCATCTCAAGGCTCGTGAGGATGAGCTTCTGGGCCAGCTGGCAGCGAAGCAGGAGGAACTGGATGCCAACGATGCGGCACTCAAGGCGAAGGTGGAAGAGCTCAGGGTTACACAGGAAGAACTGGATGAGAAGAAAGGTGAGCTTGCGGAGAAATTCTCGGAGCTCGAGGCCCTCAAAGAAGAGCTGGCGAATACGAAGAACGACCTTGAGGCCAAACAACAGGAGTGCGAGTCTAGACAAAATGAGCTTGAACTTACTCGAAAGGATCTCGAAAAGACCAAGCGTCATCATGAAGAGGAGCTATCCGCCTTGAGAGATGCATTGGACATTCAAACCAACAATGTCAAGGAAATCAAAGAGCGTTTGGCTAACATGGTCCTCGAACACCGCAACCAAGAAGAGACCTGGCAGAAGGCCCGCGAAGGCTACGAAGCCCAGCTTAGCGAGAAGGCTGAAGAACTGAAGCTCAGCAACGAAGAGAAGGAGGTACTCGAACGAGAAGGTCTGGCAAAGGAGGAGAGACTCCAGAGCATAGTAGAAGAGATGCGCCAGACCCATAATAACCTGAACAAGGACCGTGAGAGGTTGAAGAAAACGCTACATAGCCTTGGAGAAGCGACAGACATGAAGATGAAGGGAGACTCGTTCTTGTAAGTCAGTCGTTTCGGTGTATATGAGATATGATTGTATTGCCTTTGCCCACGAATTCCCTTTCTTATGTCGTTCATGTAGATGGCAGACTTCAGTAGCATGAGGTGGGCCAGACCAAAAGTCGTCGCATGTTTATCTTACACTCATTCTTTTTTTTTCTTTTTTTAATATTTCGTTTGCACAATAATCAACATCTTTTTGGGTTCATGGTCTAATTTATTCTTCTTTTCTTGATCTAGCATTGAGTCTTTTGCCGAATTGTCGCGACTTATCGTCGAGGTATCCAAGACTTACTTCACCTACCTCCCTATTGAACCACCACCGGATATCCTCGCCAAGATCCCATCTGATATCCCTCAATTTTTGGATAATACCCCAGCATCCCGAGAGCTCCGTGCTGCCTATGTCCAGCACGTCATTTCCAAGACCCTAACCTATAGGATCTTCCAGCCTTTCCTGTTCACCCTAGGAAGACGATACGATAAGGCAGACACCTTTTTCCAGATGCTTTCTATTGACATCCGCCGCAAATCCGTTCGACGTGAAGCTTTCTGGAGACAGCAGACACTTAAAGCAGCATACACCACCTCTGATGCCAAACAGGCCATCAATGTCGTCGCAGCTGTTATAGTTGATGAGATTGTCGACCATATCCGCCACTTCACTGACCCAACGCATCTCGACGCCTTGTTGACGAATGTCCGAAAGATTGTCAAGCTCGCAGCAGAGACATGGAGATTGGCTCGCGTGGAACGAGAATTGATCACAGCCACTATGCCGTCAGCTGAGGACGAGCAGACCGCAAATGAAGAATGGGAAGAGTTCGACTATGAGTCCAATGCACCATTGCCAGGGGGTGAAGGCGCAGCTGAGCCGCCGCTGATGCCAAAGAAATTCCGCCGTCCACTTCTCCGAATGCTTCCTCGTATCTTCCGAGGAGCTGTACATGAAGACTTCCTGACTGAAGACGACCATGAGAAGGCATCTCCCTGCACATACCTCCGAGGAGTCATCTTATATAGTGACTCTCCTTCTGTCTTGGCCAGACGGGCTGAGATGTTCAAGAAAAAGCCAGAGGCGGTAGGAGTGATTGACGATGCAGAAGATGCACGACTACGAGCCGCATCTGCCACTCCGCCCAACGCTAGCGGGAGGAGCCCTTCCCCGAAAAGCCCGCTTGGGAACCGATCGCCCAGATCAAGAAGATCAAGGGAGAGGGCCTTTGGCCATGATGACTAGAACAGGGGTAAGTGGGAATAAGGCTGAAGCTGATTTCCCCCTATAATCGGCATCTATCATGTCATATTGCGTCAACTGTTTCAATGTGTTTCATGATTTCGTATTCAATTTTTTTTCTATTCTTTGTTTCTTTTTCAACTTATCTCCAGATCGCATTTCTATCTTTCATTTGAAGTTTGACGATACGATATTTCTTCTTTACCCTTGGAGCGTTCATTTACGGTGTTTCTGTTTCTCTGCATAGCATTGCACGTCCATCGGTATGGCAGTTGGTAATGTGTACAATTGACGACAGGGTTTGCTATGGCCACGGAGTTAGAAAGGCGAGATAATGATTTACTGATTTCTTTATCTTCTTTTATTCATATGGGTTAATTTCTCCTATCAGCTAGTTAGCTATTCATCATGAGCCACTCCGTAGAGGCATACCAGATTGCTTTTCAGTGTATCATCCTCGCCCCTTTCCCACACCTGTGGCGCAGTTAGGGTTCTATTCTCACCATCGGTCACTCTTCACCTGCCGGTATCTGCCTTGGCCGTGGACGGGGACAACAGGCTTAGTTGCCGGCCCGTCTTGACCTTCACTCCTTATACTTACGCGAGTCCTCCCACCCTTCATCTGATCTAAATACTCCCGTACCCTTCCGAATGACCACATCAAAGTGTCAAGGCAAACACGCAGATGCTCTCTTCTCTTTTCACCCCCTACTCCCTCGCCGCCCCCCCTTTTTTTTATAGATCCAAGTCGGGAGGTGGTTAGTTAAGGTTGCGGATCATGTGACGGCCCGTTCTCCCCCTGTTGTTAATTTTGACGTCCAACATCGAACGTCCGACTGCTTGCTTGTCGTGCAGCAAGTAGACAGCATCCGGGCAGCGGACGACGGAGAAGAGGAAGAAGCGGAGGAAGAAGAAAGGTGGCAAGGCGAATAATGGACTGGGCTGCTCTGGCATTTATGACTGCATGAAAGGGCCAAAGAGCGTACTGGGCGTTTCCCCGAATCAGCCGCGTGCTGCGCCATTCCTTCGCATTTGCTGGGCGAGGACCGACAGGGAATATTAATAATTAGCTTGCAAAGGCTTGCAACTAAAGGCTCAGCCAAGCAGGACACGAGCAGGACCGACAAATCGCATGGGAGCCTGCCTGCGTGCAATCCCGCCTGACGAGGTCCAGTCCAGCGCTGCCCGATATTCTCATCCGTTGGATGGAGAATATCTTCCCCTCTGCTCGCCAATAACCTCAGCACCGAACTCGACCAGCCCAACTCCCGTACTCCGTATTCTCATAACAATACTCCGTACTCTCCGTACATACATACAGAAGAAGACAGAAGATAACGGAACAGGGAGAAAAACGAAAACAGGAGATCGGTTGGCCCGAAGTTTCTGTTGTTGAAGGCGGCTGCTGGATCAATCAGATTAGGTGGAGTCGCCTGTGTCATTCCCGCCCCGACCACTGGATTCTCTCGAAAGTCCCATTTATTCTCGCCATTTATTGTTGTTATTGCGGTGCACGGTACCGTACCAACCTTGATTCGCACCCAACTCTCTCGCTCTCGTACCTCCAGCGACAAACATCTCCAGCTTCATTTCAACTGACTCTGGCAGCGAGACTCCTTTCGACGGCTCTCTACCGGCCTTTTGTTGGTGTAGCCGCGATTAGCGATATTCCTGCTCCTGCTGTTTATTTTTTGCTTGGGAGGTTCCCCGAAAAGCACCTCGTATCTACGGAATAGGCCGCTCGACCATTCATCACATTCCATCATATCCCTCCTTCTCTCGGCCATGTTTCCTTTCTGCTGTTGAGGCATTGTACCATCCTCTGCCATCTCGTTGCGCTCGCTCACACGGACTGGTGAACGTTTGCGAATCGGTTGACAAGGCTGTGACCTTCGCCATCGACCCTTAGCCCAGGCAGAACTCGATCACACCAAACGAGGAGCCTAGTGCAATCGAGCAGACGCAGGACAACAGCCATCTGGGGCCTTTCACTCGGCCTCCTTTGGGAATAACGCCTAAGAATCTAAAGAATGTCGACAGGAACCTCCAAGCAGGTACTGAGTATAGATCGAGGTATACCTGTTCTAGGGGAGGAGAACTTTGATGATCCGTTCTTGAACCAGCTCTCTGACGCTGAACTATCCGGACTCCATCAGGTACCGACACCCTTTTCCTACTAGGTACAATCAGAGTAAACGTAGAGGTAGACTTTTTTTTAGCTGACAACGAAATAGACAACTCCTGACTATTTCTCTGACTCTTCGAACCATTATCAACAACCAGAGGTTTCTACAAACCCCAGTGACCTCACATCACCCTCTTCCCAACTAGATTTTCTGAGCTCTACCGAACACACTGAGCACGGTCTGAGTGATTTCACACGCTTGACTTCGCCAGACTTTGATGCTTCTTTCTTTGCCTCTGCAGACCCTCATTTGAAGGCAGAAGTGGCGGATGATACTAGGGTGCTCTGGGTCAACCCTCATGATATCGACAAGAATTCACCTGACGGAAATAACTATACGCCACAGAAGAGATATGTCGGAGCTGGGACTGGGGCTTCGCAGCTTCTGAGTCCTGTACCCACAAATACACCAAGTCCCATTATTAACCCACAGGTTGATCAGCGTGGGCAATACTCAACCAACGAACAAACCGCCGTCTCCCCCCAGTCCATGACGGGTGACAAACCGTCACGAATGACTGCCACCTCGTCCCATAACCCACCTACACTCATCACCCCCAATAATACGAGCAAGTTGCACCCTTCAAATATCCAGCCTGGTATGGATCATCAGGCCAGCCCTATTGTGAAGGTATCGAGCTTCACCCGAGGTGATTCTCCATCAAGAGCGGGCGACCAACTAAACCACGCATCAAAGCAGTCCACAATGGATAGCGGACGCCTCTCTCCTGCCAGGGAGACCCGAGAAACCTTCTTCGATAGCGATGATGATGAAGATGAAGAGGAAAACGACAACCATAATAACCAGAAGAAGCCCTTTTCAATTCCACCTCCCGCAAGACGGCTTGATGATGGCAGTTGGTCCAAAAATCCAACTACAGGACATGGTGGACTGGACCCCACCGCAAGAGAAGATGTTTACGTTCCAAGTTTAAAGGAGTTAGCTGCGCAACGGGAGAGAGATGAGAGGAACGCCGAGGTTGCACAATGGATAACGCATAGCGAAGCACATGGCGATGTTGATGACAATAAACTTTGGAACTTCCGGTCGCGGCGCAAAAACAAGTCTGATAAGAACAAACGGCGGGCTAAGAGCGCGGGAGACCCTTTCTTAGGCGCACAAGACGGTTTCAGTTCTAGGTTTGCGTATCAAGATTTTGACGACTCTGCCATCCCCGGCCCTGGAGTGCTTATTGATGAGGATAGTGGCATGGAAGATGATGAAGATGACTCCTCTGCTGCATCATCCAGTGTTCCAGAGTCACCTCCAGCCAGCGTCCATCCCGAACTTGTGGATGATGATGAATATAATGCTCCTACTACTATCCCTGATGCAGAACTTGAGCCACTACCAAATCAATTTCTTCGCGCTCGTCCATGGCAGGATTCAATAAGGAATACCCGTGACGGCACCACAAAGTTCCAGCCTACAACATCCAATGCTGCTATCATGCGTTTCTTAAAACGGGCTGACAGTACCGACACTGCTTCTCGTGCTGCCACCTGGGGAACGCGCGGTCCTAGTGAATGTGACGTTGAGAGTATCATTGGCCCGAACGGTCGGTTTAGCACAATCCGAATTAGTGAAAAGAAAAAGGACAAGCCTATGAGGAGAAACAGCCTTCTTGAACACGCGAGAGGATTTTTGCCCAAACGGAGCAATAGTAGCTCAAAACGAAAACATCAGCTGGATTCGAGTCAACGAAGCCTAACACCAGAGCAACCACCTCCATCCTCTTCTGATGGCGCTGCACAAAGCACCAGCTCCCTTGTTCCTCAGCGCAAGTCCAGCTTTAACAAGGGCAACAAACATAACACAGGAGGCGCTATACTTGCAATGACCGGACAAATGGCTACCGTTGGGCGTGGTGGAGGTGTTGGTGTCCCGTCACCCGCGGTGACAGCTTCGAATACTCCTTGGAGCCATATTAAACGACGCAGCCGAAGCAAAAGTGACCTCACCAAAGGTGAAGGTCCCGGAGGTTTACTTGACCTTATAGGAACTCATGGAGGACCGCCCATCCCTACTCTTGCGTCCCCGAAACGAGAGAAGGGGGCCAGTGCAAGCCCTCTTCAATCTAGATCTCCTCACGATAAACCCGAGGAAAATGATCTCGAAGGAGACGATGACGATGATGATATGGGCAACGAAAATGGAGTCACGATGGAGTTCCCGGTTCGATCTGACCCGATTGTGCCAACGCTCGAAGGATTCAAAACCCACGTCAGACAGCTCAACCCTCGACTGCAACCTGCATTAATCGAGAGAATTGGGCAAGAACAAGTCCGGCGATATAAGAGATTGGTCGAACTAAGGTTGAAGCACACACAAAACGTTAGCAAGAACAGCTGCAGTGCGGGAAAGCACTGCTTTGCCCAAGGAGGTGAAGCCGTCATGTTACCACCTAGAACCAGCCCCAAAGACCCCGAAGCTACATACGCTCAGTTCCAAGTTCCTGGAGCGGCGGTTACTCCCGAGGATTTGGCATCTTTTGGTGAAGGTGCTATCACGCCCGCCTTATTCCCCCCTGGGGTTCCTCTACCGCCTGTCAGGCGTCTTCCTGCCGAGTTTGAGTGCTCTCTATGCTTCAAAGTTAGGAAATTTTTGAAACCTTCCGATTGGACAAAACATGTTCACGAGGACGTCCAACCTTTCACTTGCACCTTTCCAGACTGCACAGAACCAAAATCATTCAAACGAAAAGCTGATTGGGTGCGACACGAGAGCGAACGACATCGCCATCTAGAGTGGTGGACATGCAACATGCCAGACTGCTCCCATACTTGCTTCCGCAAAGACAATTTCGTCCAACATCTTGTGCGGGAGCATAAGATGCCTGAGCCAAAGGTGAAAGCAACAAAGATCAAGAGCAAAAATCAGCAACAAGATGGTAACGGCAACTCTCATGAAGCCACTTCCCACGCCCAGGCCGTAGAGCAGGTTTGGAGGCTGGTCGAGATTTGCCGCCAAGTTACGACTAAGCAACCGACGGACGAGGCCTGCCGGTTCTGCGGAAATGTATGCAATAGCTGGAAGAAATTAACAGTCCATATGGCTAAGCATATGGAACAAATCGCAATGCCCGTGCTGGAACTGGTTAACGATAAAACATCCAGTGGAGGTGCCATTGGGTCTTTGGGCCACGCAGCGACTACACCACAATCCCAGAGGAACATGTGGACTCCAACCAACCACGCGAACCATAGTGTAGAGAGCACGCAGACCACTCGTGCACCAAAGCCCATTACCTACGGTACCGATGCTCTCTTGACTGAGGCATTTGGACTGCCCCGTGAGCCGGTACCCAGGGAAGCACCCCAGCAGCAAACCCCTGAATACGCAGTCTTGTCGCGAGCCAACCTAAAGCAGCAGCAATACTCAGTTGGGCGCTCATACACCATGTCTCCGTATCTGCAAGCCCAACAACACTATCATCAAGCGCAGAGTCACACTCATAAGCAATACTCCAACCACCTCAATTCCGCCTCGTACCCTCCGGCCTTCTCTACTCTGCCTCAAGACCAACAATCCATTAATGGACTTCCCATGCTCCAGCCCCTTGCAGAACAAGGAGAACCTGCTATATCTGGCAACGATATGTACGGCGATATGGGTGGCATATCTTCCAATGCGCCAATCCTAGACACTAAGTTCGAAGGGGAGCAAATTTTCGCTTCCCCGGTCGATAATGGATCTTATATGTATGCGCCGACGGGCCAGGAGGGCTTAGAATACAGCATGGGTGATAATGGGATGACCTATCACCCCATGATGAACACCGTAAATGGTGGATTCATACAAAATCCGCAGTATAATCATGGGAGCTAGTGGCTGAAGCCAAACCAGGGCGTTTTGGCGAAGTGATCTTTTTCTATTTTGGTGTATTCGATATTTTTGGGGAGTTTCCTTGATAACATGCCGAGTCTTTTCGTCTTTCGACTCCATTTTGTGAGCTTCTATTTCTGATTCTTTTTTCTTTTCTTAATGATATCTTGCCTGACTTGTTTAGAAGTCATAACCTCAGCAACCGCCCAAACTTATGTCCCTGAATGTGTTTTGGATAATTTATGTACCAACATTCATATAATTTCACTGATTCTCAATTGATTTGGCTATATATTCTCCTTGTTTCGTTGACGATAACCATGGGGAGGGCTAAGGAGAAGGAGTTAGACTTGTGCAATCCGCCAATGGTTGGGTATTGCTACCGCCACCGCTCATATGATAGGGGTAACAACTTCTACACAACCCCCGCGTCGGGCAAACGGAAACCAGATACGTTGGGCCCATACCTTTTTTTTTTTTTACGGGCAGGAATAAATTCCACACAGGTTACAGAAGACATGGCCTAAGCACATAGCTAAGTCGTCGTTTCTGGGGAACTGAACGTTGACATCACTTTACGACCAACCTCAGGGGAAATAACGAGCCGTTTAACTAACGTTTGGGAACTTTGCAACGTCAAGTTATCCCTGAAGAGTCACCAATATCATGCGGAACTCCCGAGCTTTGATTCCCGAGTTGATCGTCACGACGCTTTTCATATAGAGTTTAAGCTCCGGCTTGAATAAGGATAAATTAAACCATGGTATGCTGTGGTCCCTCTCATCTCGTTCGCATCTCCCCTTTTTCATGAGAGTTCCGTACGTCCTAATGCAATTTGGCGACATGCCGAATCGCTATCCGCCATCTCCTATATACCAATATTAACCGTTTGCTCCAGTATAATGGACGACTCTTCGGAGCTCTTCGAAGGCTCAGGGGCAACGAGTATGTGGTGACGCCCGATAGTCTCCAAAACACAGTCGCACAGAGAGGATTGGCCACGTCGGTTGGCCCCTGAGCTTAAACTCAACAGAGTTTGCTAGAAGCTTGGTTGAAGCTTCGGTCCCGTTCATCCATACCTCGTCGAAACGGCCTGAGGTCAGCGAAACGCTTGCATACCGCAAACGCTGGTGATTCTACTGGCGTAGGTACGGAGCATGGGCGCCAACTGATACCCCTTCATTCTAGAGACGTCTCGGGACTTCCGATGCCACATTACTGGTTCGTGCATGGACGGGGCGGCATGTCTTCATATATAAGGGTGCCCACTGCTGGCTTATGGCCTAATCCCCCAGCTATGCTCAAGCAATTCGTCCACTCTTTTTAACTATGTTTTTTTTTAAAGGCGTTGTCGCCGTCCTCTCTTTTTTTTCTGCAGTAAATGCTGCTCCGTTTATGAAACCCAACAATGGTACAGGGAAATATATTCCAGACTCCTACATCGTGCTTCTGAAAAGGGATATCTCCCATGATGACTTTGAATTGCATAAAAGATGGGCCAGCGACGTTCACAAGAGGGACGTGGCTAAACGAGGTATCTCATTTTCTGGCATTGGGCATTCCTGGGCTACGGGCTCTTTTAGGGGATACAGCGGAGTCTTCAGCCGCGACACTATCGAAGAAATAATGAAGCATGAACACGTATGACACATCGTGGTATTTCTCTTGTGTAAAAGCCCGTTGGCTAACCGTCCCTACGATAGGTTGCACACGTCGAGCGAGACCAAATAGGTACATCCCAGGGCTGGGTCACGCAGCCGAAAGCTCCAAACTGGGGACTCGGGCGTCTTTCAAACAGCAATCCAGGAAACACCGATTACACCTACGATGAGGGTGCTGGCGGAAATGCAGTCGTCTATGTTATCGATTCCGGCATCGACACCATGCACCCAGAGTTTCAGGGACGCGCAACTTGGGGTGCAAACTTCATTGACAAAAACAATGTCGATTGCTGGGGCCATGGAACGCACTGCGCAGGTATCATTGGCAGTGTGACTTTTGGCGTTGCAAAGCGCGCAGCAATGATTGCCGTCAAGGTACTGGATTGCAACGGCCAAGGGCCTTACAGTGCTTTTATTGCTGGACTCCATTGGGCTACGGAGCACGCCCAAAAAAATGGCCATATCGGCAGAGCGATTATCAACTTTAGTCTTGGTGGTGATAACTCGCCTGCAGTAAATCAAGCACTGGAGGAAGCCCAGAAAGCTGGTATCTTCGTCTCGGCTGCGGCTGGAAACTTCGGCGTGAGTTCTATCCTTTTACTAGCAGGAGTAGCTTATCGCCTGGCAACTAACTTCTGATAACTATAGTCTGACGCCGGGAGCATCACACCCGGTGGCGCTCGCCTGGTCTGTGTCATTGGCAATTCGGACGAGCGCGACTATAGATGGACTGGGCAAGGTCCATCGAACTTTGGAGCCAGAGGTAAGTCGGGTCTCGTTTCTGCACCCCTGGAAAGCGCAAAAACAGGAACTATCCGGTCTTTTTATAACAAGTTCTGACTGCTACAAGTTGATATCTTTGCTCCCGGCACTGACATCATGTCTACCCTCCCTGGGGGCGGCAGTGGTGTGATGACGGGCACCTCCATGGCGGCTCCTCACGTTGCTGGCCAGGCTGCTATCCAAGTATCTATATCTGGCGGCGGCTTTGATCTGTCGGTTGCATGCGCCTTCTTCAAGAACAGTGCGTCTGCGTCTGTCAAGAATCCTGGGCCCAACACTACCAACAAGCTACTTGTCAACGGAGCCAACGGGACCAAAGGTCCAAAGCAGGATGAGAACAAGCCGAACAAACCCCCAGGTCAGGACGAACAACCAGGCCAGAACAAACCCCCAAGTCAGAACCCACCTCCAGGCCAGAACCCACCTCCAGGCCAGAACCCGCCTCCAGAACAACCAGCTCCAAGCCCACCTGCAAATCCAGGCGATGAGCCAAATCCAGATGGTCAACCATATCCAGGTGATCAACCAAACCCGGGCGATTCAGGCCCGTCGTGGTGGATGCCATCCGGCGGCCTGCAGCCGCCAGCGTGGTGGAACCGTCGACCGTCATTTGGGGGCTGGAATCGGCCAATGTGGTGGAACAGGCCTCTCTCTGTGTGGAAACTGTGAGCGAATGCAGTCTGCAGGTTTCTCTCTGATTCGCTTTCTCTGTAGATATCTAGACGCGAGCGGGCCTCATATTCTTACAGAGCCCCGAGAGCAAGCCTCTCGGTTCTCACTCCGTTCATTATCAATCACCCATTCCTTATCTAAGTGTATATCAACACCATTTAGCTCCCTTTTAGTTCTAGATAGAGTACTGTGTACACAGTTTTCAATATATACTTTGTTTTAGTTCTTTTTTATCCGCTTTACTCCTATCTTTCAGCAGGCTCAATCAGCCAAAGCTCCCTGAAACTCCCTGGCTAAGCCCCCTTCGCTGCCCTGGGTTGTTTGATATTGAATCTACTTCCGTCACTGCACTGCCTCTGATCAAAAATAAACAACCAATCAAAAATCCAGACAGGCATCCAATAGAAACAGGCCACTATGTTTACTGCCTTTTCCATTGGCTTCTTTTGACGAAAAGGCTCGTCTTTATGCAGTCTGCCTTCCCGCAGCTCTTTTTCCTGCGCTCTGATTGGCCAGATAACCCTCTCAGCCTCAAAGGCAAAATGCGCTGCCTTTTCTTCGCCTGCAGCGACGCCTTTCTGATTGGTTTTGCGGTCTCGAGGATGCTGGATGCCTTGCCAGGGAGATGCCAGGGCCGCTGAAGATGGTGGAAATAACTAGCTGATAGTTATTTGAGCGTCTCTTGTCCCTGGTTGGAATCCCCCCAGCAAGATGTTGGGCGACTTCACTACTCTCTGCCGTCTTCTCCTCGAAGGAAGACCCCCCTATTTGCCCATCGGCTTGCGTTCCCCCTGGCAGGAGGTGAGAGAGGGACCCTCCTGGCTGCTGCAGCCTTGCGTCCTCCGTACTACTTCTCTTCGTCTCTCGTCTCTCTCCTCCTATCAAAACGGGAGCAGAAGTGGGTGAGATCTTTGACGTCTCAAACCTCATCATCGACCGTTATCGGGACCCCGAAGAGTATATGAGACCCGAGTTCACTGTATATACATACATATAATTCCTCCCTGAGCTCCCCTAATCGTGATCGAGTGCCAGTTTCTCTTCTCTCCGGGTCTCTTTGGCAGCTTTGATGACTCTGCTCGATGCGGAGTATGTTCACTCGCTCGACATACTCGTCTTCGCCCTGATGCCCAGGGTCTTCAAAAGCATTGAACGGTGATGCGAGACATAGTCCCACTCTCTTTGGATAGCATATTCCCTTCCCTGCCCTTTTTTTACTTTCTTTCTTTTGCTTGAAGCTCAGTTTTATTATAGTCGATCAAGACATTCAGATCCTATAGTTCTGTTCATGCATTGCAATCCAACAGACCATGAATCCCAACGACCAGTTCTTCCTAAGCCCTTTGCTCCAACCCGCTGAGTTTGCCTCACCCACGCAGACGTCCCAGGAGACTAACAGAAACCGGAATGTGAGCCAGACTGACTTTCTTCTGGGGATCCGGCAGGATGAGGGTTCAACACTGCAGCCTCAGGTATCCTATCCCTCATCTGTCACCATTCCCGGGCTTGAACCAAATACACAGCCCACTACTCCCTTACAACATCCTGCCGGTGACGTGCAGCAGCCTTTTTATGGGCAAGGTCAGACCCTGGCCGGGTCTCCAATCTTCCCTCCCCGATCTAATATCACCAATATATCCCCTATCAGTGTTCCGGATACCCGTCCGCTAAACTACTTCTCATTCCAACGCAACCCACCACTTGGTACCAACATCACGTTCACAGATATAGCGCAACAATCACAGGCATATGGTCAACAATATCACCTCCCTGCACCGCAGACGGCAACTCCATGTGCCGGCCCTACTGGGGGTACCGAACTCCGGACCCGGTCCCTTTTGGATTCGGGGTATATGTCTAGGATTTCCGGAATATCTGGCAATGCTTCGTTCCAGGGAACATTGGCTAACATACCTCAGAGCCCTCAAACGGTGTCTTTCAATCAGCTTCTTCAACCAGGATACACTCCTGGTTCGCAGTACACCCCTGAGCCCCAACCTGAGGCCAGCTCATTCCTCAATGAGCCAACCTCGCAACCTAAGCCAAGGAGGAAGAGAAAGGAACGTAGGGTTTTCTGTCCAGAGAAAGATTGTCCTTGGACAGGCCGCTGTCCATCGGAACGAAAGTAAGTTGAAAGTACATGTCTTGTCATATAGTTCATAGGAATACTAACACCACCGGCGTTCTTAGAAAGCATATCCATCAAAAGCATACAAAACCGCATGCATGCGACTTCTACGGCTGTACTATGACATTTGGCTCCGGTAGTGACCTGAAAAGACACAAGGAAAGCCGTCATCCATCCGAGCGCACTCCACAGTACAAATGCTTTGCAACGAAAAAGAAGTCCTGCCTTGAAAGCACTCATATATTTACAAGAAAGGACAATTTCAGAACACACCTTGTCAAAACCCACGGACTTACTGAAAGTGAAGTGGCCGAACATATCGTCCTATCCAACAAGTGGCTCTTTGACATCAAAAGGGGATCGATTGAAACGCGTGAGAAGACTCTGCAGTCTCCAGTCCAGTTTGACTCTCACGTCCTATCTACTCACCCTCAGCCGCAATACCCTGCCAGTGTTGATATGAATCTATTACGACAACTTAATCCCGCAGACTACAATCCAGTAGAAGATGCACTAGGGGAAGAGGAGTACCTTGATATGGCTAGAAGATTAGAGGACGACCTGGAAAGCATTATAAGCGACTTCCGCAAAAGTAGCGGCGACCTCAACGTACCCGGTATTCAAGAGCCTGTGGACTACAATGGACCGAGCACCACACCTGGGAATCCCTATGTAAACTTGGCTGACAACCTAATTGCTCGCAATTCAAACCAGCAGACATCGTATATTCCCCGGAGTGAGAACTCCGATGAAAGAGAATGGTCCCTGAGAGAAGTTGAGCGGAACTTTCAACAACCCGTAAGAGTTTGCCGCAATCTTTCCTAGTCATCCAACCCAATCCTTATCTCGCTAATCTCATTATCGTCTAGACTACCACGCAAACTGTTGTTGTTGAAAAGGAGAAACATCCGTGTGCCGAGCCAGGCTGCAATGCTTCTTTCAAAATTCCTTCCCTCCTGAAGTATGTAATCTATTTTTACAAAGCTTTTTATCATTATGGGGAAATAACCCTCACCTATAATCTTATAACAGTCAGACTAAAATGTTGTCAAAATTCTAGGAAGCACAGGAAACGGCACCGTAAGCCTTACGGTTGCACATTCAAGGATTGTTACAAGACATTTGGCAGCAAAGCCGACTGGAAACGCCACGAATCTTCACGCCACTCCCACCTTGAGCGCTGGCGCTGTGGTGACCCAGATATTACAGACTCCTCAAGAAGTTGCGCTAAAATGTTTGAGCGTAGAAGCTCGTATGAATTCCATCTTAAGGTCCACGGGATTGACGATGAAGATGAAATACTCCAGCGTCTTAATGCCAATAGGATAGGAGGTGACTGCCAGTTCCGATTTTGGTGCGGTTTTTGTAATGCTTTGGTACCCATAGCTACGGAGGGTTTTGCTGCCTTGATCGAACGATTCGATCACATCTATAATGAGCATTTTGAAAAGGGGCAAGATATCTCCACCTGGATTCTCCCAGATAGCCATCTTACCAAAGGCGAAGCAAAGCCACAGTCTCTTGGAAGGGCCCTACAGTACGCTGCCAGCGCGACGGAAACCACAATATCCGAGAGTGTTGATAGCAAGTCACTCTTCGAGGACGTACCAGAGACAGAAGAGACCGGCGCTGCTCCTTCACAACGTAACATTCGTCAAATTCGAACATTCCGCGCAAGCTCAAGAGGAAGACGTTCGCGAGTCTCTATGTCACCACCAAAGAGCCTAAAGAGACGACGTGAAGATAGCAGGCCGACTCCAGAAGCCCCATCTGCCCCTACAACTGAAGCAGCCCCTGAATTGCAGCTACCGACGGATCAATTTTCACGAGAGCTGGCAACCCTTGAGGAAATCGGTACATTCGATTTCGATGACTTATTCAACGACGATACTATGTCTACCTGGTTCCTGGGATCTCCAACTGAACCATCTTAACGCCATTTACGCTCCTTATCGATCTCTTTTATTGATGTTTTCTATTTTTATCTTTTTGACGTTCTACCATCACCGAAAAAAAAACCTTGATACCATTAACGACCTGATTGCCACGATTTTTATTATGCTGCTGCTTCTCTTTGCACCATTTTCTTCTGCACTGCCTTCCTGTTTTCTTGCCTCCCTCATGCCAGGAAATACCAGCTCCTTGCCCGAACAGCACGACGTTTGAAGGAAGCTATTTAGTTGTTTCAGGGGCTCTATATAAATCTCATTCAACATATAACTCCAGCGAGGAGCTATGGATTTTGACTATCGTTAACTTCTCTTTTTTCTCTTCGTTTGTTACCTGGAAAGTCCATACCGGATTATTTTTTTAACTTTATTGGTTGCTTTCTACACAGTCAGATTGCTAGACGTATCCTGTTTCCGATGTTCATATGTTCAGCGTTCTCTGTCTGATCAGTTACGGGTCAATTTTGTTGTGCCCCTACATAGACTAGCATTCAATATCTGTTCCTCCCGTATGGAAGCAAATAGAAAAAATATATATAGATGTTGTGATCATTCACAACTTTGATCCGTCCTCTTGCCTTTCACCAATTAATTCCATAAAACTTTCATGTACTTCTTCAGTCAGGTCACCCGCTTGCATGCTTCGACCTTTCGCTAGAAACGCCCTCCTGGAGCATTCTCGTGTAATAGCGCTGCCTGCCCAAGCAGCCAATAACAAAGTAGCTTTCCTTGACATCTTCTTGCCATCGTTATTGTCACCGTAAATTTCGTTTTTAATCATTTGGGCATCGTTTCCGGAACCCTCATCAGCGCTTGAAGTTGAGCCATCGTCCCAAAGCCCGTCATGATATGCTTTTCTCCAGGCCATGAAGGTTCCCAGCGAACCGGTAAGGGTGTCGCCTTGCCCACCACTTCGTTTCTTCCCGCCTTCAACATCAGATATAATAGATATATCACCATTAGAAATGACATCATGAGGTCCCTTTTGGATAATTAAAACGCCGCCTAGCGCCCGTGACAATTTCTCACATGCCTCAGACCTGGATTTCTCCTTGTCTGAGTCAGACTTGCCCTCACTCGATGGGGGATCAAGGCCAACTGATTTGCTGAGTCGAGCAAATTCCACCACATTGGGAGTCAATATACACTCTTTGTAGCCGTGTACTAGCTTAGGGTCGTTTTGAACAAGTATCAAGGCATCGGCATCCATGACCAAAGCAACGTTTTGTTTAATTGCCTCTTTGATCACGCTGGCTGTTATCTTCTGAGTTAACGGGTCACGACCAAGGCCTGGTCCAACGACAAGGACATGAAGACGGGGCAGAAAGTCAACAATTGGCTTGACGTGGTCTGACACGCTCTTGTTAGGGGTATCATTCTGCACGCTTGAGCTGCTCTGTAGGATCGGATGAACCATCAAATTTGGTGAATATGTTTTGATTACTGGCGCAGCAGATGGCTCGCATATAACATGGCTCTTCATTGGATTTGTTAGTAGTATATTCCCTCTCAGTAATGTAGGTTGCCTTACCATATCACAGCCTAGTTTTGCTGATGCCATGGCAGAGAAGTAGGGAGCACCAGTGTAACTAAACAACCCACGGCAACAGTCAATAAAGGTGTTCTCTCAATATTCCATAGTTAATACGGGATCATTCACGGAATCTTGTCAATTTATTATTAGGATGCCATCCTCTGAAGGATAACTACTCTGCAGATAGTAGAGAAATTCGAGGGTATGACATGGGAAGGCATACTCAGAACTCCCTCCTATAACACATACACGGCCAAGTTGGCCTTTTCCATGAGTGTTAGCAAAATGATGAGCTGTGATGTTGCAACAAGGCCTCGAAGGTATAATTCAATACATGCGGGATCAACCATCGCTTACCTTTATGGAATCGTTCTAGCATTGGCGGGACAATCTTACGGACCTTGTCGAGGATAGTCTTCGATGCCGACGACATATTTGGAGACGTAGCAGCAGACATGGGAGCAAGATAGTATGCTTAGAATGACGGGTATCGTAATATGTATACCCATTCATGGACGAGTGTGAGTGTCCGTATCCAGGAGATGGTGGTCGGGTGTTGATGGTTGTAAGTTGTGGTCAAAACAAGCTTAAATGAATAAATAGCTAGCTATGATGTCACTGTTTATTTGGTTATCGATAACCAAGCTGTAATTCTAGATTGTTACATGGATTGCAAGTGGTAGGGAACAAGGAAGAACAATGAACCCAGGAGATTTATAACTTGATGATAAAGAGAGGAACAAATAACTATGGGACAAACAGCCTTTGATGATAAGCGCCTATGAAAAGCCAGTGAATTTCTTATGGCGCCCATGCTCCCTCCATGCTATAACAAAGAAAAGACCAGAACGTCGTACAATCATACAGTAAAGAAAGAGTGAAGGTCGCTAAACAATTAGTAGAACGGGATATTGGACATCGCTAAAGCCATAGCGGATATTGCTAGGGCTAATCAAAGGACAAGTCAATAAAATCAATAAGTCTGGCAGTGGGTAGTTCAGGGCGGGTGCTTGTGCTGTTTTGTAGCAAAATAGGAGGTAGATGCCCTGGATTAGCGCCGTGACTTAGCAAGCGCATTCAGTTTCATCTTGCGCTCCATCTTTTCTTTCTTTGCTGCCATCTCGAGCCTTAGCTCTTCGGCATCCTCTTGTTTGGCAATTCTTAGCGCGGTCTGCTCCTCTTCTTCGACGTCAAGGAAGCCCGCTTCCATATCGGATTCGTCAGAATAATCGTCCTCGTCTCCATAGCCATAGTCGCCTTCGTCTTCTTCGTCTGTCCCAAGGTACTCATTTCTAGCAGCCCCACGGCTCTTGCTGCGGCCATACGAAGCATCTCTGCCTTGGGCACGACGAGAAGGTAGTCCGGCTGTGCCAGAGTAGGAGAGCTCCGACGACCGTGCTGGAGGCAAGCTGCCCGGTCGTGGACGGGCGGTGCCTTTATATGCCTCTTGTTTGCCCATTTCGGCCTGGCGAGCTTTCAAAATGGCTTCTTTGGTGCTCCTTGAGGGAGCGGTAACTGCAGATTTCTCGGTTGACAGCTTCCGGTTTGCTGGTTCTCGATCCCGCTGTTTGGCTTCCTCTGTCATTTTCTTTTGCTGAACTTTGCTCTTCTTATCCTTGGGAACAGCCTGGTGTTTTATCAATCCAACAGCGGCTGGTGCCTTGTTTTGCAGTGCCTTTGCCTCGGCCATGATTGCTGCGTAGGAGCCCTTAGGGGGCGGCTTGGTTGAAACGGGAGTAGCACTGGGTTTAGACAGTGCGGGTTTTGGGGCAGCTGTGGCTGAAGAGGTCGGTTTGGACGCAGGTTTACGAGCAGCATCGCTGTCCCTAGGCAGGCGTGAGGCCGGAGTCGCAGGCTGAGGTGAAGAAGAAGACGCCGGTTTTGAAAACCGATCGTTCCGCGGGGCTGGTCGAGTCAGCTGTTCACCCGCTTTTCGTTTCTGGGCTGTGCCTGTATAGCCATTACTGTTTCCACTAATCGAGGTTGCTGCCAGTTTCGAGTTCAGGGAAGGCTTCTGGTTTGAGGACGTCGAGTCTGGGGTTGTACTCTTAGGTGGGGGAGGCGGGGTGATAGACACCTCCCCAGTCTCGATAGAGGAGAGAACGGAGTTTAGAAACTGGTTATGGGGGTTAGGATGTCAGTAATATGCCGGCAAAGAGCACGTTTAGCTGGCTGCAGGTGTCTCAAAAGACTCACGCTCATTGTAGCAAGGCAGTATTGGATATTGTATGTAGCTCAGTGTGTTTGGAAGACAGAAACCGGTCACCAGCGATGACTGTAGTGTGAAAACAACTCATGATTCCCAGACAGAGAATCACCTCATAGCGAGAAGAGTCCGTTTTGCGGATCTTTATACCGGACTTATCAGCGTTTCATATATGACCTGGCAGGGGGGTTGCAGGCGCTAGGAATGAGGTCTCAGGCAGCAGCTGGGGGCCCAGAGAGCCGCTGGAAGGGGGCAAAGCGTCGGCAACGGTCGCGGCACCGGGATGCGACAGGCAGCAGCGGCGCAGGAGGTCTCGTTGGCGCTGAGTTGTTGAGAGTTGGCGAGCTCGACTCACGAGGAGGATTTCAACGACGTATTTATAGCGAGAGGAAGAAAAAGGCAAAGAAGGTCTGCTTATGTCATCAGAGAGTGACTGCAACCGAAAGCGGACTAGCGCTGCGGCTCGCTTACTCTATAGCTTATGTAATCCCACTTTCACCTTTTTGAGTTCTTTTTTTGGGGCTTTTTTTGGCGATTTTTCTTTTCTCTTCCACAACGACAACCAAAAGCCCTGAACTTGACGTCTCAGTCTCCGCCCAACTCGCGGTTAAATCGATTGTTTCTCTTGTTCATTCCTCATCTCACAGGTAAGGGAGTGCTGCTGAATACAGACCGGGGACGGATTAATTGATTCAGATTCGAGAACTAACAGTTGTTGTATATAGAAAACATACCAAAATGAAGCACCTCGCAGCTTTCCTTCTCCTCGGCCTTGCCGGCAACTCCTCCCCATCTGCCAGCGACATCAGCGATGTTCTCTCCTCCGTCGGTATTGATGCCGACAGCGAGCGCGTTGAGAAGCTCCTCGCCGAGCTCGAGGGCAAGGACATCCAGGAAGTAAGATATTTCCCACCCCCTTCACAAAATTGTTTTTATGTGCGCGCGAATATAGGATGGGGACATAGGCTAATCGAGCGCTTTGTAATAGTTGATTGCCGAGGGTTCTACCAAGCTCGCCTCCGTCCCAAGTGGTGGTGCCGGTGGTGCTGCTGCTGCTCCTGCCGCTGGCGGTGCTGCCGGTGGTGACGCTGCTGCCCCCGCCGAGGAGGCCAAGAAGGAGGAGCCAGAGGAGGACTCTGATGAGGACATGGGCTTCGGTCTCTTCGACTAAGCGCATCCTTCACGGGATACTACCAAAAAGAGATAATAAAAAGAGTTACAGCAGTGAATCGTTCGTTCGGCGTGTTACCAACAATGATGATGGATATGACTCAGCTCAGTCGGTGGAATATCTGTTTGATGCATTTACGGACATTATGACCTGGGTTTGGGCAACGGCTCGTCTTGTTATCAGCAGGAATCGCTGTCTTATCATAAACTACACCAGGCTTTTAGTCTGTTGACACCATCGCAATGCAACTCGGCCTTACGGCTCCCTGCTGAATCTCCTACACTGGTTATTACCTCCTCCAGAGCAGCCCTCGTAATCCATACGTCAAATAGATGCACATTGTAGCTCAAATAGCTTCCAAACTTGCCATCACCAGCTGCCCACGGGCAATGGTCTGGCCCAAGGACCGCCCCGGCCGCGATCTGATATCGGATAATAGTTAAGCCATTCCGTCAATAGGGTTGCTTACATAAGAAATCCACTTAGGGCTAAGGTCGCTTAACCGAATTCGCTCCTCCACCTTTCGCGATCCAAATCGACTTTTTTCGACGTCGAGAAAGAAAACGAGACAGACAAACCCAACTTTTCGACAGTTTCTCTCCCCTTCTCGCATCCAAGGGCAAGCCAGTGTTGCCGAGAGAATAACACCGCAATCATGGCTGACGTTGAATATGTAAGTAACCGGGACTTTTCCTGGTAGGAATCAGGATTGAATAGAACTTGCGACTGACTACTTCTACAGAACGCCGAGGAGGCTGCCGGTACGTGCTAGATGGCCCTGTGATATCTTTAGCGGAAGAGGGGAACCGCTCTTTGGTTGATTTGCCGGGATATATCGATGGATGGGATGAAGAGAGTGCGGCTAGCTGACGAAACGACCACCAACAGAGATCAAGCGAAAGAGAGCCTTCCGCAAGTTTTCCTACCGTGGAATCGACCTCGACCAGTACGTTCTGACCCCCTGGACTGCCCATATGCAAACAACCTACCCAGCACGTTTTATTGCTCCGTTTTTACGACAAATATCCGCGCTACCAGTTCGATAAGGGGAACATACGATCTAATCAAATAACTCTTGCAGACTCCTTGACCTCTCCTCCGAGCAGCTCCGAGATGTCGTTCACGCCCGTGCCCGCCGCAGATTCAACCGTGGTCTCAAGCGCAAGCCAATGGGCCTGATCAAGAAGCTCCGCAAGGCCAAGCAGGAGGCTAAGCCCAACGAGAAGCCAGATCTCGTCAAGACACACCTTCGTGACATGATTGTCGTACCAGAAATGATCGGCAGCGTCATCGGAATTTACTCCGGAAAGGAATTCAACCAGGTCGAGATTAAGCCCGAGATGGTTGGCCACTACTTGGCTGAGTTCTCTATCTCATAGTACGTCGTTTCCTACCCCCGCCAGGCAATTGATAACGGATGGCTTTTTCTAACGTCGGTTCCCCCATTTTAGCAAGCCTGTCAAGCACGGTCGACCCGGTATCGGTGCCACCCACTCTTCCCGTTTCATTCCTCTCAAGTAAACGAATAATCTGCACGCAAACTTGACGTTTTGTACTGGGTCATGTCAAAATGTTTTTTATCTTCTCTTACATGGGGCACAAAAGGGATGGGGTTCTTGCTTTGTATGGAAGGGCTTTATATCCAGAACCTCGTTCTCCCAGGTCATGTAACGGCATAGAAAATGGAAAAGCTCTTGGAGAAAACAGCTTTTATCATGCTCATGCCAACCCGCGGCTAGATTTATGATTTTTAATGTATCTAGCAAAAATTCATTCCATACAACCAGTCCTCGTACTTTCGCGCTCCCACCCCTGTTGGGTGCGCCTCATCGCAATCAAATTACCACCGATATGATATTACACTAATAATGTACCAGAACACCAGATTGATATAGAGGCACATTAAGGCACATTCTATATTTTGACCACACAAGTATTATATATTCTCTAGATATAGAATAAATAATACTTCCTAATATATTTTTTTTTAATTCAATTTGAGGAGATATAGTAGAAGAAAAAAAGACATGCAATATTTTCCCATGTAATTTAGTAACTAGTAAGAAAGGGAATAAGTATCGAATTTCCTTAAGAAGAGTAGTAAGTTCCTTGAAAGTAAACAGGACCTCTCTTTTATTTTGAAAGGCTCCATTAATGTGGTGGTGGAGATATCGAAGTAATATAATATCGGTGGTAATTTCATTACGATGAGGTGCACCCAACAAAGAGCGAAAGGTAAGAGTCATTAAGGCTCGCATGTCAGAAGCGAGGAATAAGTGGCCACCCAAGGTCATATCCGACCTGTTGAAGAGAAAATCAATTCATCCATCAGTCTCCAGTGTTTCCTCGGCAATATTATTAAGGATCTTCCATGCAGGAGACATAGCTTTGGCAGCAGAAGGTGTTGACGGGTTGTAGCCCAGTTTCCTGACTGGGGCCATGAGAGCGTCATATTCCACTTTGATAGATCTAGCAACCTCAGGCGTCTCGTACTTCAGGTTCTTGTTTAGCTTTGCAAGAATAGGGTAAACCGTCGACACCGGGTCGAACTTGTATTTACTATCATTGGGAATCTTGCTTGACTGTTCACCTGTGATCGTCACGACTAGTTGTGAAAAAACGAACTCATGGTTTGTGCGGATGGGATGCCACTCGTGAGGATAGAGTACAGGATCAACAAACAGGTATCGAACCAAACCATGTCGAAAGGCGGACCAGAAGTCCTCGATTTCAAGGAGAGACACGATCAGCTCTGATCGAATCTCTGGATATGGCTGCCGCGCAATAGGCCACATTTTGGTATCATGTAGGACCTTCATGGCGGACCTGAGTTGTTTCACTGCCGATTCGGCCTTGGAACTCCTTGCGGCTGTAAGCAGCTCCCTTGCTTGCTTTTCGGCCTCCTTAAGAGTTTCAACCTCTTCCGAGGATGGATTGGATGGGATGAATTGGTCTTCCCTAGCGGTAGTCCCTTGGGCACATTTCGAGCATTTGCATGTGAAGAAGTATCTTTCAGCAAGCTGCTTCTGCCGAACCTCTAAAGGATAGGTGTTGTCGATGTAGGATATAAACACCTGCTCGTCAGGTTTGATTTCGCGCAAGGCTTTCACTATGATCAGCCCTCCATCAAATCCAACAACGGCATTTGGTTCACAGCTATGATTCATGTAACATGCAAATGGCTGAATGCATAATCCCAGCGGATCACCAAATGCCGTGGTAAATGTAAAGCTATTGACTTCAATCTATGCTCCAAGGGGTGTTCAGTATACGGCTATTCCCGTTTGACAACAAAATTACATTAGTTACTCACCCTTGCTAAGTATTCAGCGATGGTCTCGACGTCAAGTTCTGAGCCCGAGTACTCCTTTTCTGCCTTTGCACAGAGCATTATCCGCTCATACTGTTCCTGATTTGAGCTCGTAATCTCATCTAAGTGTGAACGAAGAGTCAAAAACATGTTCAGATCTGACTTCACATGGTCCTCGTTTGAACTCCTCAACTTCACGATCCGAAGGACCGCTCTTGAGTTCACAGGGAGAATTTTGGGGTACAGCTTTTTGTAAATAGCACATTCATGCTTGTGTATAAGCTTCCAGTTTGCAGATTGACATTTCTATCATCCGTTAGAAGCCTATTCTCACCGACTATTTAGGTATATCATATATGTATATAACTACCTGGGGCAGAAGCTTACCCTGTCACAATACTTGACTACTTTGCAGCCAGAGCAGGCCCACAGTTTCATGTCAACGCTTGCCATGACGTTGACTCCGAACGGAAGATTTGCAAAGCAGTTAGAGCATGCGTCTTTCAGTCTCTCGGTGCTCAGCACTGTAGAGAACGTTGCAGGCATGCTGAACACGTCTTTGCCCATCTTGATAGTGGATGTTGCAAAGAGGCCTCTCCCAGCATCGCCCGCCGGCCGGGGGACCACAGAAGCATTAACCTCTCCGAACGACGCCATCATCGACTAGCTAGATGCTTCCCTGTGAGCTGGCTACCTTGATATATTGTTGTATAGATCAAGATGAACAGGTCAATCTCGTTTCTGTGTGTTGGTGTTTATAGTTAGTTTACTTGTCGGTGTGTTTGTTCCCAGAAGCGACGTTGGGCCGCAGGGCTCGGCGCTAGTCAGACTTCATTGGATGGATTTTGGCCGCTGAAAAACATCTACACTTCAATACTCAAGGACACTCAACTACAGACAATCTACATCTAATATCTGATACACGGCACTGGACTGTCTTACGGTGTTCAGCACGGGTCCAATTTGATCACTATTTTGTGGCACTTGTGATGATTGTATAGCTCGAGGAGAGTGTACATTTATCCCATGATACCCCTTTGGCCACTACAGAGACGACCTGTTCACGGAGAAAATATTTCCGGAGGAGAATATTGATGTCCTAGTCCCGATGATACCAAGAATGAACTCCAAACATCGGGCTTAATCCCCGTGGATCAACCCTATCAAGTACTGGCTTGGTTCTCGCTCACACGGCCGCAGCTTGAGAGTAGAATCTTTGTCCGAAGGGCAGTTGTGCTAGAAGAGGGGTTTAAGTAGCACTTGAAGAAGCGGCAGGTCAGGGTATTGAACGTCCTTTTATAATACTTGGAGCAGGATAATCCTCCACGGAAAATTTATAGGTACTTCGGACGAGAATACTTTGTTGGGTGTCTGAGAGTCTACCTCTTATATCATTAACCCTTGATATTTCTATTGGGTGTCCTCCTAAACAGTTTGAATATGGATTTCTAGTAGCTGAGTGGCAGGTCTCCTGGTCAATGTCGGATGGTATTTACTCCCTGGTTACTCCGGGTGGTTTATATGTTCCCTGTAGAGCCTTCTGTCATTTGGAAATCCACGAATCGAAACAAGTAGTTTACTAGTATAACTAACCTGCATAAACAGCCTGCTTCACCAAGTCAAAACCAACATCGATACTCGAGAAACAAATTTAAATACAAGATATTAAGGCAAGGTCTTCCAGATCAGCTATCTGCTAGCATGGCAATGGCAGCGATAAGCATGGGCTTAACTTCTCATATCAAACCTTCTGCGACTATCTCCCCCGAATAACCGGTGCTTCCTCTTCGCCGACAAACGCAGAGAATATCAACCCCCTGATCAAGCGGATTCTCGGATGCTATCCGGACTCTACTATCTACGGGGCAGGAGGCCGTTCAGCCCTGCTATCAATATGTGACAGTTTATGCGTCAAAGTCTCCTACAAGCCTAGTGGTGAGCATATCATCCACGAACAGGAAATATTCAGGCAGCTGGAATCTGTCCCATGCTCGTCTATAGCCCACGGGCTCTACTGTGCTCCAGACCTCATCTTCAGGGAGCTATAAAAGAACGGTACACTTCACGAGCGGCTGAATTCGAACAAGGCGCCTCGCCCGGTACTTCAATGGATGCAGCAGCTCTCGGAGGCAGTAGCTTGCCTGGAAGCCCTCGGTTATGTCCACGGGGACCTGAATCCCCGAAACATCATGTTTACGGAAGACGACCATCTCAGACTTGTCGACTTTGACCATTCGATCAAGCTCGGCGAAGACTTGGAAGTTGGAGACTACCCTTATGTTCGTCCCATAAGCCTGGCGGAAGACACGGCACAGTCCGGTGGTACGTTTGGCAGAGCGAGTGTCGCTACGGAGCTGTTTGCTCTCGGGTCTATCTTCTGGTACATGGTTACGAGGCACGGAGCTGTGGGCCGGTGTGCAGGGGCTAGATCTCGTTGACCGGCTTATAGCCCGTACATGTCCGGACATGGACCTGGAAGATCCCGTTAACCGGATCATCAGAGACTGCTGGACGGGGAGATTTGATTCTGTGGCCGCACTGGCAGCTTGCATCCGCCAGCTGGAGTACTCGAGGGATTTTGAGCAGAAGAAGAGCCTATGCGAGCAGCACTATAAGTTGATATGTGGCTAAGAACATTGGGGGAGAACAAGCCCGGCAGCCTGTCAAGATATATAGATACCGGCTACACAGTGGGCTGGCCGTTGAATATCAGCTCAAACAGATCCAAAACAACTCATTAAACCGCAAGGGCTGGCCCCCCGCTTAGATAAGGCACATACTAGGCGAGTAGCCAGCAGCCTAATTGGCTGGGCTGCGCACTTTTGGGCATCCGGAGGCCGGCTGTGGCCTGAGGGCGACGGCAAGATATAAACAAGCCCGTTCGTTGATCTCGCGTTGACATGGAATAATACCAGCTTACGGATCCAGACGATGGCATATTATGAACATGAGCCGGATTTCAGTGTCCATTTCGGCAAGACAACGTGTCTACTCTGCAGACACGTTGCAACCCCCCAGTCCCCTACCCTCGGTGGGTTTTTAGCCCCTGCTAATCTTTCTATATGATTAACTATTTGGTCACACAGTACTAATAAGTTTGTGTACAGATCTACATGGACATGACCTTGGAACTCGGGAGTGTGAGCGATTATGTCTAGTGTGCAAGATACATCCGATAGAGAAGCCATGGATGCACAGGCTCTGTTACGACCTGCTGAAGGCCAGCAATAGGCCCAACGAGCCAACGCTCGAAGACCTGCAGAGATTCGGGAAGGCAGTCAGGCCCCTGTACAAGCCCGCGGACAGTGAGGATATCGACAGCGCGTCTTCCCGAGAGGGGCTGTTCTCCAGCCATGCACGGCCCATTGTGGAACGGAGTCTCCGGATCGACTTGTTTGAGAGACTGCCAGTGGAAATCCAGGCTATTATACTTAGCTATATCGGCCCGTGCTGGTATCTGATCCTGCTGGGGGAGAGCCGCAGATTGGTCGAGGAGTTGAGAAATGGTCGTAAGAGCCGCCAAAGTGAACAAGTCAGCCTGGAAAAGGAGGTATATATCTCGCGAATACCTTACCAGGGCAATTCCTATATTTCTACTATCAGCAACGAACCACCGGAACCTGGCCTAGATGGCTTGAAGCTAGAGTGTTTGAAAGTACCAGACAGCCTGAGCAAGATTGTGCTATCGACAGACCATATTGGTGTACGCGGAATACAGTTTGTGGTGGAGGGGGGCACTCCCCCACCACCAGATGGGTCACCATGGTATGAATTTGTCGACGTCCCAGACTGCAGCCAGGCGCTGCATGTTGCTACTGAGGTAAGGTAGGGCGATCCCCCGTCCACGAGTGCGTTATTCAATCTGACAAGTTGAGGTATGATAGGGTCTATTTGTTAGAAAAATGCGGCGGGTCGAGGGGGAGGAAATCCACAACAATTTCCCCCTCTGGAGCAGTCCGTCACCGCCTGCATTCCAGCCGTGGAACGTGTATGACGATCGAGGAGGTTGTCGCTTAGACTACGTCAACCTTGATGAGGAGGGTGTGCAGGGCCTCGTGGTGTGCTGCTATGGCGTGGCCAACGGGGGCTTGTTTGCCTTTTCCGGCGTTTCCAAACCATTCAAGCGGTTTGTCACCTCCATGCAACAAAACATCAGAACGGGCCCCATTTTCTGGATGTATTTCCCAATCAACGACGGCGAACAAATCGAGGCAGCGTGGGTTCGCAAGATCGAAGGGTTATACGGCCAGATGTCCAACCCGGTATTAGTTGTACGTTTTTTTTTATTCGCATGCATGCCCCCGCCCCGCCCGCCAGCACAGTCCGGTCTGCTAACTAGTTAACTAACTGTATAACTAGATCAAAACGACGTTCGGAAGAACAGCTACATTCGGGCCCTACCACCGCGAAGACTACCGGCGGAAAGACGAGCTCATCCCGCTCGTCAAAGACAGCGACGGAACTATTTCAGGATTCATCCATGACGGACTAGACACAGACAAGCACGAAATCTCTCTATTCGGACTGACCTGCCGGGACCGAGACGGCAACGGCAACGGCAACGACCCAAACGACGACCACGACCACGAACACGAGCCCAACGACAACAACAACGGCACAAAACTGGCCCCACCACCCGTTGAAAACTACATCTCTCCCCCGCCCTACGCTGCTGACGGACTACAGGCTTTAAATTGGTACATGACCGAGGCGCGGCTGGATGGAGTTTGCCGTGTGCGCGTGTGCAGGGATCTAGAGCAAGCGCACAACCCATGCATCGGAATGCTACTTTACTATGATAACGGGCGCGCGGAGGCCCTGGGCCAGATACGCTGGGACCAGGAGGTGTCGCGGGATATAAACGTGCCCGTACGACTTAGGCGGGAGAAGCTTGATGGGAGCCCGTACGTTGCGGACATCCAGGGCATGGATGCTGCTGGGTGTGGCGCAACGGCGGATGAGCCGGGTGATGGGTGGCTTGAGTTGCCGCGGACAGGGACGATGGCGTGGTGGTTTTGTATTTCGCGGGACATTATCTCTGTGTATGGCCATTGTACGCATTGTCGATAGATCTAGCCGTACCTAGCGCGCGGAGATGTATGTCTGTCTGCGCTATGCCTGTTCCTAGTCAGTCAGGCAGTCGGCAGCTCCGAGAGAAGGGCCCAACCCAGTGGTCGAGGCGGTCCGCGGGCGGGAAGTTAAACTTAAAGGCCGAAGTTAACTTTACAGCAACCGCCGTCTCGAGTCCGTCATCAATAGATCGATAAAGAGGGAGAAAAAAAAATATAGAAATATATATCAATGAACTTCCGTCACTGAATCAATAAAATGAATCAGACAATGTCTATCTATCTGCTAGTCGTGCTATTTCAAAAAAAACTATGCACCGAAAATAGAAGTTTCCCGAACCAACCGAACCGAACCGGACCGAAGCACACAGCACGTAAAAAAGCACCCCAAGTTGCGCCCTTACACCAGCTTCCTACCCACGAAATCCGACCAGCTACGCACCTCAGACGGAATGCCTTCCTTCTTAGGCAGCTTCTCACTCATACATCTGGCAAACAGCAACGCCGTCTTGGGCTCCATGAAAAGCGGCACGCCGAAATCCACCGCGTTCCTACGCATGACATAGTTCTCGTCAAGAAGATGCTTGCTTCTCTCGCGCGCAATGTTGAAGACTCCCCTGATATCGTTGCGCTCAAACACCTCTCGCAGCTTCCGCTTGTCCTGCTTCGGGAAGTCGATGATTTGAATGTTCAGATCCTCCGGCTTAGCGGCGCAGTTTTGCTCGAGGAAGCGCTTGACGGGCTCGCTGGCTACGAATAGCTTGAAGCCTAGCGGATGCACGTAGTTGACTATCTGCGGGAGTTCAGACATGTCTGTATCTCCACCGAACAGTAGGCCCTCGCCTGGTTGAGGGGTGCGGAAGTTCATGGTGGATTGTAGCGAGGCCCAGTAGGCTTCGACCAGGTCCTGGCCGAAACAGGCTATTTCGCCTGTACTTGCCATCTCGACGCCGAGGAAAGGGTCGGCGCCGGCGAGTCGGGTCCAGCTGAACTGCGGCACTTTGGTAGCGAGGTAGGGACGGGATTGGGCCATGAGGTCAGTGGGCTGCGGGACGTTGGTGCCGACCAGGGCGCGGGTAGCGGCGTCGATGAAGTTGGTTCCGAGCACCTTACTGACGAACGGGAACGAGCGGGAGGCGCGCAGGTTGCATTCGATGACTTTCAGGAGAGGCTTAGAGGGGTTTTGCGGGTTGTCGGCTTTGATGATTTGCATGTTAAAGGGGCCTGTGATGGAGAAGGCATGGGCGACTTTCTCTGCGATGGTTTTCACACGGGCCATGATGGAGGCGTCGAGGGAGGCGGGTGGGAGGACGAGAGTTGCGTCTCCGGAGTGGACGCCTGCGGGCTCGATGTGTTCGCTTACAGCGTGCAGGATGAGAGAGCCCTGAGAGGCCACGGCGTCGACGTCGATTTCTTCTGCGCCCTCGATGAATTTGGTGATTACCACGGGATGGTCGGGAGAGACGGAGGAGGCGGAGAGGAGTTTCTCTTTGAGCTCGTCGCGGTTGTAGATGACGCTCATGGCGGCGCCGGAGAGGACGTAGCTTGGTCTGACGAGGACGGGATACTGGACTGATTCAGCGAAGGCCTCTGCGTCCTCGAAGGAGGTGAGTTCCTTCCAGGCGGGCTGGTCGACGCCGATGCTGTCGAGGATCTGTGAGAACTTGTGGCGGTCTTCTGCCTTGTCGATGTCTTCTGGGTTGGTTCCGAGGACGTTTGCGCCGCCAGCCTGCTGGAGACGCAGGGCGATGTTCTGGGGCAGCTGGCCGCCGACAGAGACGACGACGCCGGAAGCACTTTCGAGTTCGTAGATGTCCATTACACGTTCGTAGCTGAGTTCTTCAAAGTAGAGCTTGTCGGCGGTGTCGAAGTCGGTAGAGTAGGTTTCGGGGTTGTAGTTGATCATGACTGTCTTCTTGCCCATGTTGCGTAGAGACAAGGTAGCGTTGACGGCACACCAGTCGAACTCGACGGAGCTGCCGATACGGTAGACACCGCTTCCGAGAATGATGGTGCCCTTGTCCTCGAAGGTGACGTCGTGGGAGGAGGCATTGTAGGTGGTGTAGAGGTAGTTTGTGTCTGCTGGGAACTCGGCGGCGAGGGTATCGATCTTCTTGACCCAGGGGTGGATGTCGAAGCTCTTTCTGCGGGCTCTGACTGCGTCTTCGGTGGTGTTCAAACAGAGGGCAATCTGCCTGTCGGAGAAGCCCATCTTCTTGGCTTCAAGGAGGACGTCCTTTTGCAGGTCTGACAGGCTAGCGATATGCTGGAGAGACTTGTGCATGTCGACAATATTCTGTAGCTTGTAGAGGAACCACTTGTCTATCTTGCTGAGCTCATGGACGCGGTCGACAGAGTAACCCTCGTGGAGCATAGCCTGGCCAACAGCAAGCCATCTGCGGTCGGTCGGGTTGGCCAGGACATCGTCGAGGTTTTCAAACTTGTCACCCTGGAAGCCGACGAAGCGCGGGTCGACCTGGCGAATGGCCTTTTGGAAGGATTCTTCAAAGGTACGTCCGATGGCCATGACCTCGCCGACAGACTTCATGGAGCTGCCGATATCCCGCTTGACGTGCTGGAACTTGCTGAGATCCCAGCGCGGGATCTTGGTGACGATGTAGTCGAGACTGGGCTCGAAGTTGGCCGAGGTGGTCTTTGTGACTGCATTGGGCAGTTCGGGCAGAGTGTGGCCCAGGCCTATCTTTGCAGCGGTGTATGCAAGGGGGTATCCGGTGGCCTTGGAGGCGAGAGCAGAAGAACGAGACAAGCGAGCATTGACCTCGATGACACGGTAGTCAAGCCCGTCTGGCTGGAGTGCGTACTGGACGTTGCACTCGCCGACTACGCCCAGGTGACGGACGATCTTGATGGCAGCGGTACGAAGCATGTGGTACTCTTCATCAGACAGGGTCTGGCTGGGAGCTACGACGATGCTGTCTCCCGTGTGGATGCCCAGTGGGTCAAAGTTCTCCATGTTGCAGACGGTGATGCAATTGTTGCTCGCATCACGGACGACTTCATACTCGACTTCCTTCCAGCCCTTGAGGGACTTTTCGACCAAGATCTGCGGAGCGAGAGTGAGAGAGCGAGAAGAGAGATCACGCAGCTCGTCCGGGGTGCTGGCGAACCCGGAGCCAAGTCCACCCAGCGCATAGGCCGAGCGGACGATGATGGGGTATCCTATCTTGTCAGCCGCAGCGAGGGCATCGTCGACGGAGCTGACGGCGATAGATTCAGCGATGGGGATGTTGATCTCGTTGAGGGCGCGGGCAAAGAGGTCTCTGTCCTCGCTGGTCTCAAGGGTCTTGATGGAGGTACCCAGCACGCGGACGCCGTAGCGGTCAAAGATGCCCATGCGGTTCATCTGGACGCCGAGGTTGAGGGCAGTCTGACCCCCGAAGGCGAGGAAGATGCCGTCTGGCTGCTCCCGCTCGATGACATAGGAGACATACTCCGGGGTGACGGGGAGGTAGTAGACCTCGTCGGCGAGCTTGTGGTCTGTCTGGATGGTCGCGATGTTGGGGTTGATCAGGACCGAGCGGACGCCGGCTTCTTTGAGGGCCTTTAACGCCTGGGAGCCTACAGACCGTTAGACAGGAACCAAAGTAAAAAT